GCTACAAACCAGGTAACCATACAAGGCAAGTGATAAACCTTTGCCTCCACCCCCCCGAAAGTGCACCCTTGCTTTAAGCAAGGATGAGATGAATGTCGAGAGACTTTGGTACAAGTAGGAAAACCCTAAGGGGTTATACCCCACACTATCTACCCCACTAGAGCCTACCAATAACTCTAAAATATATATATATATATACATATATATATATATATATATATATATATATATATATACATATATATATATATATATATATATATATATATATATATATATATATATTTATATATATATATATATATATATATATATATATATATATATATATATATATATATATATATGTTTGACAAGGAGCCGCTGTCCTCGCGTTCTCTCGTAAACGCGTGCAGCCAAGGCTAAGCCCATAGCTAAGCTAAGCCAACGCCCTTCGACATGGGCAAGGCCCAAAATTGGTTTTAGTCCACCCTGCCTAATCACGATCTCAGCTTGTCCCACCCTGATGGCCCAGGGTGAATTTTTTTATACGCTGAGAAGTACAGCCTAAAAAAAAAGTAGCCTGTCTGAATCAGGGTAGAACTTATGTTACATTTTTTAGTATCGCATATAACGTTAGTTCGTAACTTAGCCAGTTAGTGATTTTCCTAAATAGCAAGAGAGCCTGGACCAACTACTGTAGCAGCTGCAAGGAAACACACGGCACTAACGGAAGAGCGGGTGTCATTACAATATGACATCGCACGGGCGCAACAAGCACAATCACAAGCACAAGGCACACACGAACAAGCAGCACGTCAAGCTTCGCAACACAGAAGCGTGGGGCAACCCTCAAGCGCAGCTAGTGATGGCGTCGCCCGCAACGACGGAAACAACGACCACGTCGCGACACACCCCAAAGCGACGAATGCGGCCAGAAGTCAACCGCGCGTCACGATTTCGGTGCCGACCAGCGAGTCCGCACTGCCGTCACCGATGCCGCTCAAGCCGCAACGTCCGCCTTGCTTCGATCCAAGCCAGTGGGGCGGTACGACCGTTCAGGCATGGTTGTTCACGATGAATGTCTTCTTCGATACCAACTGTCAGAAACTACAGGTAGGAATGAATCAACTAGCAGGAAGTTTGGTACAAGTATGTAACCTTAATGGGGTTGTACCCCATATTGGCTACCCCACTACAGCCTACACATATATAATACATATATCATTTGACACACCCCCATAGGCAAAGTGGGGGAGAGCAAGGGGTCACAAGACCAGTCAAGAAAGACAAAGCAAGCTCAGGGTGGAACAAAACGTCACCACACACATTGAGCACAAGCAAAGGGCCACAAGGCCAGTTCACATGCAGAGATATATATGCAACAATAGCATCACAGTGATCACTACCTAGCAAGAGCAAGCATGCAGGTATATATATATATATATATCACAGTACAAGCAGAGACTACAGCAAGTGCGGAAACGTAGGCACAAGGCCTAACAAAGTACAAAAGCGCTGATGATCACCAGACGGAAGTGCCTTGGTGAATATATCAGCAGTGTTGGCCCGGGTGGCCACGTGAGCAAGACGAAGCTGACCTCGCTGCTGTAACTCTCGAGCCAGGAAGTTACGCAGAGAGATGTGCTTCGTTCTGTGCTCCAGTCTGTGCTCCTCACACAAGGCAATGGCAGCCTTGTTGTCGACGTACAGAATTGGAGGAGAACGAGGCCTCTCTCCCAAGTCGGTCAGCAGGTAGGTAAGCCAGCGTAACTCCTGTGCAGCCATGGCTGTGGCATAGATCTCAGCCTCACAACTGGAGCTGAGAACAGAAGACGAGCGTGTAGACCGCCAAGAAATAGAGCCAGAGCCAAGGCTGAAGGTGTAACCCTGTGATGACCGCTGCGTAGCCTGGTCGTCAACCCAAGATGCGTCAGAGTGTCCAGTGAGGACAACGTCGCTCCGTCCTCCAAGCACGAGCCCCATGCCCGACGTACTGCACACGTAGTGCAATACCCTCTTCGCAGCATCCATGTGCACCTTTCGGTGCCGACCAGGAGCCACGTAGCGAGCCAAAAGGCCAAGAGGGTATGCAAGGTCAGGTCGAGTGCAGGTCATCAGGTACATGAGGCAGCCCACTAGCTTTGGGTAAGGACCACTCGACTCTACGGACTCGTCCGAAGGTGGAGCTGAGAGCGAGTGACCTGTAGCTAGAGGAGTGGACCGCGCGGAGGACCAGGTGAAGCCGAAGTGCTGAAGGACCTGCTGCACCATGTGTGACTGGGTCAGTGTGATGGTGCGGCGTGCTTTGTCCCGGGTGATCTGCAAGCCAAGGTAGTTGCGAAGCTCACCCAGGTCTGTGCACGTGTGTCTCTTCTGCAGCTCCGACTTCACCAGGACGAGAGCCTCAGTGTCATCTTCGGGGTAGGGGAGAAGGTCTGGAAGAAGTCAACTCCCTCACGCTGACTGAAGCCTCTAGCAACGTAACGAGCCTTGAAGACAGGCGGAGAACCTGGCGGCCGCTTCACCCTGAAAATCCACATGCCATCGACGATGTTCGCCCCAGGAGGGGGAACCTCATCGACGTAAGTGCCTGTGGACTTCCAGGATGCCATCTCTGCGTCCATGGCTGTCTGCCACTGAGAGGAGTACTCACCCGTGATCGCCTCAGCGTAAGAGCGCGAGGTCGGGATGTCTGGTGCATCCGGGTCTCCCTCAGGGGCAAGCAGCATGGCCACGAGATGAGGCGCAGTGGCTGCAAGACACTCAAGGTCCTCATGTCTGTCCTCAAGGACGTCCGTGCCAAGAGCACACTCACCCCCGACGGACGGAGGACAGACATACTCAGACTCAGCAACAAGACTAGCGGCGTAGTCGAGACGACAGGCAGCAGCAAAGTCAACAAGCTCAGCGACCAAGGCAGACGCAGCAGCAGACTCAAACGACGGGTCAGTGACAACAGTGGCTAACAGACGCGTGACAGTAGGGTGTGCTGCACGAAACCGGGGGGAGACGGCAGGGGAACACGCTGCGGAGCAGAGGAAGGACGAAGGGCGACGAGGTGCGCGCCGGGGACAACCGGCGGACGCTGACGAGGAACACGACGACCGGTACGACCAGGACGAACAGGCGAGACAGGACGCGACGCAGGCTCACGACGCTCAGCAAGACCACTTGTCTGCTCAGTGTAAGGAGAAGGAGCAGGCAGCGGTGAGCCAGGCAGTAACGGAAGACCAGTAGAAGACGGGAGGCTAAGAACCTGGCGAAGCACAGAGTCAGGCGGTGGCTGAGACGACGGAGACGGCGGAGCGAAGAACAGTCGCGTCGGTGCAGTGCCACCAGTACCAGCAGCTCCAGCACCTCCAGCAGCTCCAGCACCCCCAGCGCCAGTACCTCCAGGACCAGCGCCACCAGCAGCAGCACCCCCAGAACCGGGACCTCCAGTCCCAAGGTCTCCAACCTCAGTGTCTCCAGCAGCAGCACCCCCAGATGCAGCACCTCCAGTCCCAGGGTCTCCAACCTCAGTGTCTCCAGCAGCAGCACCCCCAGAACCAGCACCTCTAGTCCCAGGGTCTCCAGCCTCAGTGTCTCCAGCAGCAGCACCCCCAGACGTAGCACCACTCCTAGCTCCAGCGACGTCAGCAGAAGTACCTCCAGCAGCAGAGCCCCGAGCTCCAGTAGCGCGACCCTGACGGCGACCGTACCACTCGTGCAGCTGCTGTGAGGTGAGAGGCGTACGCGGACGAAGGCGGCCACTCCAAGGAGACCGCGCACCAGTAGTCGCAGTACCCTCAGGCGCCGCACCCCCAGACTCAGCACCCCCAGGTTCCTCACGCGCAGGCCCAGCCCCCTCAGACTCGGCACCCCCAGGCACAGCACCCCCAGACTCCGCACCCCCAGGCTCAGCACCCCCAGGCTCCTCTCGCTCAGGCTCCGTATCCCCAGGCTCGGGACCTCCAGAGATAGCACCCCGAGCAGGACCACCCCCAGCAGGACCTGAGTCACCAGTGACCTCAACAGGCGCAGGCACAGGAGGATCTACCTGAGAAACACCTGAAGGAGCAGGACCTGGCGCGGGGAGGGGGTCTACCTGGGAAGGACTTGGAGCGAGAATGAGCGGCGGGGGGGCGGGGAGGGGAGGGGGGGGAGAGGGGCAGTGCGGTAGGGAAAGAGACGGTAAAAGGGGACGGACTCGTCAAAAGTGACGTCCTGAGATGCAAAGACACGGCGCGAGGTGGGGTCGTAAAACTGCCAGCCAGGCGCGTCAGGAGGAAAACCAAGGAAGACGCAGGGAATGGCGCGGGCAGAGAGCTTGTCCGCGGTGAGATCGCGGACAAAGGCACGAGCACCCCAGACCCGGAAACGCGACGCATCGCCAACCTCCCCTGTCCACAGCAGTGTGGGCGAGGTCTCCGACAAGGAGACACGGGGCCAGAGGTTGAGCTGATGCGCGGCGTACCGGACCGCAAACGGCCACAGAAAATGGGGAGCCGCCACATGGATCATGGAGGTACGAGTGACCTCCATGACTAAGCCAATGCGGCGCTCAGCAACCCCATTCTGCTGCGGAGAGGCCGGAAGCGTGAACGACTGGCGGATGCCGTGCTCCTCACAGAAGGCTCGCAAGAGGTCGGAGGTGAACTCACCACCTCTGTCAAAGTGCAGACATCACAAAAACCCTATGCCAAGTTCGGACAAATTTTGATTGCGATTGTCTTCGCGTAAAAAAATCCGGACCCAATTTCGACCGACGGTTGGAGTCATTTGATAGGAGCTCCGACACACATCTCGCGACAAGGCTTGGCTCGGGTCAAGTTCCAAATTGGCACGCGTGCTTTTCCGGAAGACATTCGCGCGCAATCCGTTTTGGTGCAATTTCGTGACCAGATCATTTAAAACAGATTTTATTTTTGTTTTATTTATGGACGTGAGGATCTCTGAATTACATTCAATATTCCGGTTTACAGCAACCATTATTCAGCATTGTAACAACAAGCAGTTTTAACACCTAGTGAAATAGCCTACTCAATGGTGGGCCCTGCAAGCGCCCGGTGGGCAAGAACAACATCTCCAAGGTCGCCATCGTCGATGAGGAACTTGTTCGGGAAGACGAACGCACCCCGAGCCGGATCGTGTGGGATGCGTCGCTCCACGACGGCAAAGTGTATCATCTGTTTGACCTTGTCACACCATTCGAAGTAGTCCGGCCTGTTTTGTTCCGGCTGGGCCGGGATCCGCTTGCGGCGCTTGTCCTGCAGAAGGGGCCACTCGATCTGCAATGTGGTGTAGGGTTGGGTGGATGGTGTATGAGGGGGGGTTACGGGTATATGCTCCAGCTGAACCAGGTGAAGACGACACATCCTACGTAACCGCAAACGCCTAAGCGACCAGGGATTTAGATGAAGTACAGGCAAGGGGTTTAGGGGATGATGCATGGGTGTAGAGACACATATCTACCTCCTTACCGAAAACAGGCCCCATGCCACCATGCGGCTCTTGAACTTGGTGAACACGACCCCGCTCCTCTTGAAGGAGAGCTTGAACGCATAAGCAAACAAGGGGTTGCTGAAGGGTGTTCCGGTGGCCTTGTCAAAGTGCCAGTTGAGGGCCCACTGTTCTGCATTTTGGAGGGAGCGTATGGGTTGGAAAGGGGGTGCAGATAGATCAGGTGGGGGGGTGAGAGACAGGGTCAGAGTACCGCGACACGGTTATTTGTAGCTGCTGACTGGCTTATGGGCAGGGGGATATGGTGTGTTTGAGACGCACATACCATCTCTGTACTCCGCCAGGAGTTGCTCGTCGTTGAACCACTTCTTTGGGTGTAGCTCAGTGGGCAGGCAATCCACCGCATTGGCGTAATCGGAGAGACCCATGCCGGCGTACGTTGCTGGCCTGAGGGTGGTGTTGATTGTTGACCTGGTTGATGACATCTGGTGGTTGAAAACACCCATGGTTGACTTGTCGTTGTGCAACCACAGCAGCTTCATTGACTCTAGCCCCTCGGCAGACAAGTGGACAGCGAAGGCCTCGAACACTTCCTCCGGTGCAGGGTAATACTGAATTTTCTCCGGGGGGTTCAGAAACAGGAGCTGAGAGCACACTAAGTAGGCTTTGCTCTGCGCAGGGGTGTGGGGTTTACAACACGACACGGGGAGAGAGAAATTATGAGTAATGACTGTGGCCGGGTGACCACAGGATGGACTGTAGGAACTTTCCACGTCAGCCCCCACCCCTCACATCCCGCCACGTCACACCCTCCTGCATCCGCCACGTCAGGGAACAACAACCAGGCCCACGTGCCACGTCACACCCACCCACCCCATGCCACGTCACCCCCCCACCCACCTGACATGACCAGCGTCGTCACGCGCCACTCCCGTGTAACCTTCCAGGCCGCCACGTCAGCCCCAAGCCTCACATCCCGCCACGTCACACCCTCCTGCATCCGCCACGTCAGGGAACAACAACCAGGCCCACGTGCCACGTCACACCCACCCACCCCATGCCACGTCACCCCCCCACCCACCTGACACGTGTCGCCTGGTCCCGCGCCGCTCCCGTGTAACCTTCCAAGCCGCCACGTCAGCCCCACCCCTCACA